TCCCCCATAAGAATTGTTTACGAATTCTGTCCAATAAGGATAGCGTACCTTTTGGGAGAAGATGAGTCAACATTTGGAACACGGGCAATGAAGACAATACTGAGTTTATAAGAGTTATTCGGCCACCCGTCGAGACATACTTGCCTTTCCATTTTGCTAACTTTTTCTCAAAAGATTCAATCAGCTCTTTCCAGAACATGATTTTTCTTGGATTGCCACCTACCCAAGTGCCCAGATATTTGAAGGGTATTGTGCCAACCTTGCAATTTAAAAGGCTTGCCATCCGAGTTAACCATTCCTCTTCCACGTTAACGCCCATTAACTGGCCCTTAGCATAATTGATCTTCAATCTCGACACCAATTCAAAACTTCTCATGATACACTTGACAGCCCATATATTCTCTTCATCTACCTCACCCACGATCAAGGTATCATCTGCAAATTGTAGATGGGATATGCTTAGTTCACCCTTCCCTACTTTATTGCCTTCTAGTAATCCCTTACTTACAGCCTTCATTATCAACCCATTCAAACCTTCTGCTACCAACAAAAATAGAAAAGGGGATAATGGGTCCCCTTGTCTCAGGCCTTTTGACATCTTGATTTGTTGTGAGGGGCTGCCATTTATTAGCATAGATATTGATGCAGTTTTCAAGCATTCTTGGATCCATTTCCTCCATTTTTTGCTAAACCCCATTTTGTTCATCATTGAGTCTAGGAAGTTCCAACAGACATTGTCATATGCCTTTTCAAAATCTGCCTTAAAAAAGAAGCTTTTTCTTTTCTTTTTCTTTACCTCATCCAGCACTTCATTTGCGATCACAACACTCTCTGGTAACTGTCTTCCTGCAATAAAAGCCATTTGGGTGTCTCCAACTATCCCATCTAACACATTTCTCAATCTGTTTACTAAGAGTTTTGACAAGATTTTATACATCACCCCAATTAATGAGATAGGCCTGTATTCTTCTATTTTTTCAAGATCATTGACTTTTGGGATAAGAACGACAAAAGATTCATTTGCACCCTTCACCAACCTGCCCGTATCATGGAACTCTTGAACAAATTCCATTATCTCCCTTTTAATAGTCTCCCAGAATAATTTTACAAACCTAAAGTTGAGACCATTAGGCCTGGTGCCTTTGAGCTGTCACAATCCCACATTGCTGCTCTAATTTCCTCCTCAGTGAATGGAGCTGTAAGGAAACAATTTTGTGCCTCAGAAATTTGCTCAAAACTAATATTTTCCAACTTCAGTCTCCTCCACATTTGTTCTGTGAATAAGTTTTGAAAATGCTTTGCAATCTCCTCTTTAACCACTGCTACCTCCTCACACCGCCTGCCATTGACCAGGATGCTATTTATTTCATTCCTTCTCTTTCTATTTTGAAAGCATTTGTGATAGAATGCTGTGTTTGCATCTCCCTCCTGTAACCATGTCCTCCTTGCTTTCTGTTGCCACATTCTGTTTTTAATTCTTGTGTTTTTCCATAGTTCTGCAAATCCCTCCCTCCTTCTTTCTATCTCTTCTTCTGAAAGTTGTTGACCCTCCCCTTTCTTATCTAAATCTTTTATGATATGTTCTGCATTGGCTATCTTCTGATCAACCTCCTCCATATAATTGTGACTCCATCTTTTTTAAGGCATTCTTCAACTTTTTCAATTTTTCTTTTAAACAGAAGCCTTTCCATCCCTGTACCTCAGTCGATTGCCAAGTTTCCTCCACCAATTCCTTGAATCTCGGTTTCTCAATCCACACATCAAACAGTCTAAAAGGTTTAGGGCCCCAATCAACCTTTTCATTTTTCAATATCACTGGACAATGATTTGAAATTGTTCTCTTTAATCCCCACTGTGTCACATCCTCCTAGTTTAACAACCATTCTTCAGACAACAAAATTCTATCAAGCCTGCTTAAAGCAATACCATTTGAGTGATAGCATGTGTATTTTCTTCCAACCAGGGGTAAATCTACTAAACCGGAGTCATGTATAAACTACTTGAACTCCCTCATTCCTCTTACATTTCCACTACTCCCCACCCTTTCATGTTGTGACTTCACTGCATTGAAATCCCCTGGCACACACCAATTTCCCCTGCTTGTTGTGACTACATTTTTAATCTCCTCCCACAACAATCTTTTGCCTTCTATATCACAAGGTGAATACACATTAACAATGTACACAGGCACTTTATTCTGTCCCCAAAATCCAAACACCCCTAAAAAATTTTGTCCTTCAAAAACTTTGTCCTTGATGAAACAATTTGGATCCCAAATGCATAATAGGCCTCCTGATCTGCCATTAGAAGGTTTTGCTACCCATTTGCACTCATTTGTGCCCCACAAAGCTCTACATACTCTTGTATCCACCCTTTCCATTTTAGTTTCCTGTAATGCCAGAAACTCTATCCTTTCCTTTTTAACTAGATTTAAGATCCCTCTTTTCTTCCCCCCACCCCTAATTCCTCTTGCATTTAAAGATAAAATAATCATTCAGGAGCCAAAATACCTGTTTTATCTTTCTCATTGCACTGCTTCCTCAAGCCATCTTTTGCTTTCCGATCTCTAATTTCCATTTGCTCTATCTTTTGGGTAATCACTTCTTCATTCCCGTTTGCCACCAGCCTAATTTCCTTTGCAGTCTCCCAGATTTCTTTTGCCCCTCTGTGCTTCTGGTTTGCTTGAAGACTTTGGTTCCTCTTCATGATGTCGCTGTCACCCACTGAGGCACCTGCTGTCAAACTTTGTGATCCTGGTATAAACTCTGGAATTTTCTCCGTCAAATTGCATGCATGACTTCTCTTCCCCTTCCCTTTTTTCTGAATCACTGCCTCCTTGCATATTCTTGACTTTTTGTAGACCTCTAGGCACAATCTTGCTTTCCTTGCTTTCTTTCTCTTTGGCTTACTCCTCAGATTTTGTCTATTAGCCCTATCTATCCAATCGACAGTCCCCCCTAAGTCACTGTCGGTTTCTTTCCAAAAATTTCCTGTAGCCTCCTTTGTATTAATTGGTTTCCCAATATTTCTTTTGTTTTTTGCATCTAGTCCACCTTCCTTTGTATTAGCATCACTATTTTGAGCCATTGGGCCCTTTTCAGCCATCGGCCCATTTGGCCTTCCTCCCGAAGGATCTCCCATGATGTCTTTTTCACTAATTTGAGTATTTTTTGCAACCAGCCCATCTTCATTTGGCCCATCAGTTTCTCTTTTGGTTAGCTCGTCATCTTCACCCCTTTCTAGACTTCCCGTGACTTCTCCTTGTGCTTGACATTTATTATCCCTGCCATTGGCCGCCTCTTGGAACTCTAACCACATCAAGCTATCAGGCACCACTTCCAAAGAATCTGAATTCAAATTGCTGGCTTGTGAGAAATCTACTGCCACTCTACTGTCCATTTTTTCTTTTGATTTTCTGTCTTCTTCATCCTCCCTCTGATTTACTGACTTGTCCTCTTCCCTCCGACGTGCAAATGCCACGTCATCATCTGTAACTTTCATTGCATCCTGTTCTTCCACAAAGTGTGAGCTTTTACCCTCAACACCATAAGCTTCCTCGCCATACACTGAATGTGCATTACTCCCCAACGACCAAGACTCACTATCCTCTGGGTCCTCATGGCTGCTAATAGCATAATCTGATTTTAATCTAAACAAGTGCTCTGTTGATTCCTCCTCTGTCACCTTGATTTTGTATTGAGCTCCCCTAATTGTGATGGTGACTGGTCTAGATATAAACTCCATTACTGGGGTGGAGATAAGAATCCTTGCAACATCAAACCTTTTTCTTTTGCTGGTGCTTTCCTCTAGAGATTCGAAATTTCCGAACATGCAACTTAGCTTTGTGAAGTTCTCTGGGTTCCAGCCGTGCACCAGCATTCCTTGACATTTGATCCATGTGAATCTCTCACTTGATACTATTTCTGGAGACCATGGTTGAATTTCCTCAAACCATTGCGCTAACCAATCTACTGCTAGTTCCACCAGGTCCTTTAGCTCATCCTTATCACCTCCTTCCAGAAGGACTAGCTTCCCACCCATTGGACGAACCTTGCATGTAAAGTATCCTTCCATGTAAAATCTTTCTTGTAGTAATGGAACCACTTCGATTGAGTGAACAATTCCAACCATATAGTCCTGGAGCCACACTTCGTCTTCTTTCATGGTTTTTAATTCCAGTCCTGCCATGTTATTGCTTCTTTCCTTGGCCCTCCATGCTGGAAGTTCGTGCTGTCCGTCTGTTCTGGTCATCTTTTTGAGGTATCGATGAAGGGGAGTAGGGGTTTAATTTTGGGAAATTTAAAAAATAAGGGAAAAAATGATTGGAAATTTATTGGTATTATAGATTGAGATAGGACAAAGATTAGTTCGATTAAGTTAGGTTTTTGTGAGGGAAGGTTCGATCTCTCGTTTATTTTAAGAAAAAGGAAGAAGTAGAAGCGATGATGAGTTATATTATGATCGGGTTTGGCTTGGTTCGAACGTGTCTGTCTGTCTGGTAAATGAGCTGAAATCAAATTGTTACTTGGGATACAGTTTCATTTT